AAAAAGGAGGGAAAATTCGAAAGGTAGGTTGAGATAGGGAGTTGGTGTCCGAGTGGATCGAAGTCACGATAGCTCAAGTGGTAGAGCAGCGGCGTATTGGCGTATTTAGCCGAAGGTCGCGGGTTCGAATCCCGCTCGTGACACTGAATTTTTCATTTCGAACAATAGCTTACATAAAGATTATAACAAAAGTTTTTCCCACTGCGGATATGAAGGAACGGTAGAAGCATAGTGAAGTAAATAAAAGTCCAATTTGCTAATTTTAAATGTAAACATGGCAATTGTTACAAGATACTTTATCAAGTCAGGTGAGTCTATGTTATCCATATTCAAAATACCAACGCGGCATCAGTAAGTAATTCAAAAGCATTCTGCCCGTGGAATAGCTTTAATTAAGTCTGGTCATGCCTGAACCAGGGAGGCAATTTAATACCAACACAATATGGCAGTAATATTAAACCAGTGTGAAAGCCAACGGTATATGTATCCGTACATATTACTATTACAAAATTAAGTCAAAATGATCAATCTTTATTATTTTAAAGAATAAATTCGTATTTTTAACGTTTTTCGTTTTTCTCACCTACCCTTCCCTCTGAACTGCCAGTTCCCCTTTTGTCATAATAATTTGTGTTTCTTGGGCAAATTAGGGCAATTAACATAATGCAGTTACAGCCTCGGGCCATGTCTGTTAGAGAGCAAGATCAATAGCACTAAGGTGAAGAACTCTTCAGCGGCTAGGGCTCTTGACAGCAAGTGCCCCCATTACTTCGACTTCTCGCGCTTAGGAAATAACAACTTACTTGACCGACTCATCACCGTAAGACGACTGAGATTGATTTTAAATAGTAGATGAAACGATAATTCGAAGGCGACAGACAGCAGTAGTTTTCAACTACTACATTGCGTGGAATTCCTCCCAAAGATACGTTGGTGATATTCTACAATTTTTTACTTCCTTCTTTTCTTGAGATATGAAAATATACAAACCTCATTGAATAAAGGGATAAACTATTTGTGCTTACTAATTATGCACTTTTAGTGTGTTTTTAGTTTTTTACGCTGTTTGTGCTGTAAATTTTATATTGCAATTACTTATAGCCAAACATAAAATTATGTGTACAACATGAGATACATTTCTACTTTCTTGTAGTACGGAGTTTTGAAAACATCAAGTTTAATTTTGTGGTTCAATATCAATAGTTTAAGGGAATTAGTAGGCAATACGAAAAATAAAATATACTTACAACTATTCAAGCTGTTCAATTCAATACACACACACACACACACACACACATATATATATATATATATATATATATATATTCCTTTTGTAATCTTAATAATAATACTAACATTGATTCATTTAGTTTAAGAATTTGATTCTTGTACAAAATGGAGATGGGTGCATGGTTTGAATTTTCTTTCATAAATGAGTTACAATTTACAATTTAGTAATTGGCATCGTATTTTTGTTGAGATTGATGTATTATTTAATTACTGAAAGATAAAGTTGTATTGTTTTTTTTATCACAAATAAATTTTTTTTTAATTTTCCAACTTGCCACGATGTCTTTTGAGGATTAACATATTTTATGAGAGCAACTTAACTAAAATTTATTCCTCCACAAAGTAGGATTAATTGAAACTTTTAATTTATATTTATACTTCGAAAGTTTTAACGGCATTTATAAATTTCAATGATATCGTCAACCTTTATTTTTATATATATTTTATTTATACGTTTTTGTAAAATGTAGATATTGATTTTAATTGTCGTACGTGTTTCATATTTTTTAATCTAATTTCAAATGTCTATATTTTTTGAAGAAAAATTATACATCAGGCCCAGTACAACTTCCCAATATCAAATACGACCCTGTTCATCTTGACATATCATCTAACAGAATGTTTTACGCTGAAAACAATGGTCAATCGATCATTTGATATGTTATTTATTAATCATGGGGGATTAAATCTAAAATTTCTATATTCGGGGTATTCACGATGTTTGTAAGATGGTAACTCGTATTAACTCGAATAGAAAAAGTTCAGTAAGATCGTGAACGCTCCCTTCTTTTCTTGGCATGTTGAACGTTAATTTTTCCGCAATGCTGCGTATGGCGATTGGTAGAGCCAATCCTAGTCTTTGAAGGCTTGTTGTTGTATGGTTTGGTTTTATTTTGTGTTAAATTGTATAATGCCAAAAGTTAATAAAAAACTCTTTCATTCGAAATGCTTTCTATGCACTCGAAAAGTACTAAATAACGACACGCTTTTAAATTCGTGCCGGTATCTTGTACAACCTATTTTGTACCCCAACGTCAAACAGCCTACAACTTTATAAGGTAGGAGATGTATCAATTATGAATGAGAGTATAAGGACAGTTCAGAAATTAACAAAATAAAAGTATTGGTCTGACTTAATTAATGCATCTTTAAGAATAAAAATACGTGTAAACAGAAAACAGCTGTTAAATTCATGGCTGCCATATTTGTTACCTAAGCCCTTTATAGGATATGGGATGTATCTATTATGAATGACAGTATAAGGACAGGGCAGAAATTTAAAAAAAAAATGTGTTAATCTGATTAAATAAGTGCGTATTTAAGAAAAATTACGTATAAACAAAACAAAACAGCTGTTAAATTCATGGCTGCCATATTTGTTACCTAAGCCCTTTATAGGATATGGGATGTATCAATTATGAATGAGAGTATAAGGACAGGTCAGAAATTAACAAAAGAAAAGTATTGGTCTGACTTAATTAATGCATCTTTAAGAATAAAAATACGTGTAAACAAAAAACAGCTGTTAAATTCATGGCTGCCATATTTGTTACCTAAGCCCTTTATAGAATATGGGATGTATCTATTATGAATGACAATATAAGGACAGGTCAGAAATTTAAAAAAAAAAGTGTTAATCTGATTAAATAAGTACGTATTTAAGAAAAATTACGTGTAAACAAAAAAAACAGCTGTTAAATTCCTGGCTGCCATGTTGGTTACCGACGCCCTAACGACTAGCAATGTGACTACATTTTCGAACTAACATCTAACGTGTGAGGTGGTTAGTGACCGTTAATCGATAATTATTCAGAAATCGTGAGGTCTGTTAGATCGAGAAAAATGATAACGTTGACTTGTAAGAATCGCCTAGTTAACATTGCTCGATCTAACAGGCCAGGGCCAATGTTAGATGTTAGTTGTTGATAAATCGTGAGATGCGGTCTGGTGTGATATAGGTTTCAGAAAAACATTTTCTTTATCGTGCCCACGTTTCGATCTTTATTGAGATCATCTTCAGGGCTCAAAGTGTTTGTCTTCTGTGTAATATTGCCATTCTTGCGTGCCGTGTTGAGAGTGCCCTACACTTTCAGCCCTGAAGATGATCCCAATAAAGGTCGAAACGTTGTCACGATAAAGAAAATGTTTTTCTGAAACCAACATCACACCAGACCGCATCTCACGATTTATCAACAACTAACATCTAACATTGGCCCTGGCCTGTTAGATCGAGCAATGTTAACTAGACGATTCTTACAAGTCAACGTTATCATTTTTCTCGATCTAACAGGACCGAACAGAGTGAAAGTGTTAACACAAATATCGTGATTACCCATATTGTGTACAACATTGTAAAAACTCATTTTCATATCTTGCATGTATTTGTATATTTTAGAAATGGTTATAAATCACAGACTCTGAAATGATTTCAATAAAGGTCGAAACGTGCCACGATGAAGAAAATGTTTTTCTAAACCGCCGTCACACCATACCGCATCTCGCAATCTCTAAATAATCATTACTTAATGGTCGCTAAATATTACACTTTGTTGATTATAATAGCAAAGTTAACAACGAAATATGAATTTCTTCTTAACAATTCAACCATTTTCAGGGGCTTAATGTGTGTAATTAATAATGAGGCGAAATGGCGGCTCTTTTAACCATTATCACTGAACGAATAGAATATTCGCTTAAACTTAATTACGCATGTAATAATCATTTATCATAGCGCTTTTTTAATTAAGTTTAAATAAATGTAACCCATCCGATCTAGTTTATAATGTAATAAAATTAAGTGAGTTTATTTGATAAAAATAGAACAAATAAAAGCAGGAGCTATTAAGAGAGAGAGTTCGAAAGATATATGTTCGAGGGAACTCCAGAGAAGGGTTAATTGTTATTGTAATCATTTCCTTCTATAAATTTCAACTCGAGACGTGCTAATAACGGGAACAAGAGCCTGACGATGAAAAATCTAGATAACAAAAAGGGATAATAGGAGAAAGGGGTACTACAGGAGGGAAAAGTGAGAGTGAGAGGGAGAGATAGGGTTTATCACCTCTCTCCAAATATGTCCCGAGGGAACAGTTGTGGGCGCTCTGGTGTAAAGAGAAATTAATCTGAGGCCCTTTCTTACAGATGTTTCTCCCTCAGGCGCCATATGCAGCCTTTATTCAAAATCAACAATTTTCTCTTCTTTTATCGTAATTCCGTATCACGCCTTACGGAAAATTCACCCCTCCGTTCATTTTTATTAAAGTCGGACAAGATTACGGTCTTCCTAAAGGGATAAAAATTGCATCGTGGGATTACACGCAGGCACAGAAGGAAAGGAACATCCATCAGCTAGTCGAACAATTTGACGCATTATGCAAAAGATACGGTTGGCATGCTGTTGAATCCTCGGTCCAAAGATCAAACAAAAAAGATAAACACAAAGCAGAAACACTCCTTCATCACATTTGTCATTAAAGCGGCACAACTGTCAAACAGAAAATGGTGTCTGACAATCAAGGATGAACGTTTTCAGGTATCGGAGAAATAAAAAAAGGTTAATTTAATAAAAGTGATCAACATGGAAAACACATCCGCCATCAAGGGGGAGAACAAAGTTGCAGGATATTGGGCACAATGACTTTCAGGACTTATCCAAGCATAAAAAATTAAAATAGGTTTGAGGTCAACATCAATTAAATTCAATATCCGACCTGTTTCTCGGGCAGAAGAGCCATTCGCTTCAGGTGGAACCATCCGCGATGAAAAAATGTCTAGAAAAGATATGAGATTGAATCACAAAACTGTTTCTGAAAGGCAAATAGGAAAAAACAAAAATCTGATATTAAAAAACATAAAAAATGATATTTCAACATAAACTTCTCACTTATACACCAAAGCGTTTCCTGTTCCATTACAAAGCAAAGCTCTACAGGCAGTAATTTCTTTAAGAGAAAAAGAAACGCTTAGGTTGACGTGCTGTTTGTAATAATGAATTTTATTAATGAATTCCACTAATTTAACATAAACACTCTCTTGCTTGAAGAACACATTAAATGTCTCAAATAAAAAAGTTCAATTTACAACAAATATATGTAAAGAATCATCTTTTGTAGTAATTAATTTTTTTAATAAAATTGGCAAACTAATTACAGACAAATTTTTTAATAAATAAACGTAACTAATCCAATAAGAGTTATTATTTACCATAATAAAAACCTGCAAAATAATCATAGTTTAATATTATTCAAGCCATTTAAAAAAATTATTTCATTTACAGACATTGAAGGATAATTTACAAATCTCGCATGATTGTAATATTTACAATAAACAGCTGTATATTACCATTGTTTATATGAATAATAATCAAAATATTTTTTACAAAATTCGGTAATTCATTTACAGTCAAGTCATGTAATAATAAATTGAATAACTAAAAATACAGTTATTATTCTCAGTAATTATTGGAATAGAAAAAATTTCAAATTTTGTAAATATGTATTTTATTTTGAATTTGTCTTAGTTATTTCTGGCACCGTTTTAAGTTTTATGTGTTGTATGGGGTTTCCCAAAATGAAAGCAAGCTAACCGAAAGCACTTTGCCCAAAAATAAAAAACATAGCTTTCTCTAATGGGTGTAATGCTAGATAAAAATCACTTTTGAAGGAGATTTAAAGGCAATTCAATCTAAAATCCGAAAGTATAACTGATGTTAGATCCTCGTCCAATTGAATCTTCTGTTTGATAACTTTGAATGAATGGCAATGAAACCAACAGAGAAACTGGAAAATTAAAGGATGGACTTTTGATACTACTTACATTGTGTCGGAAATCTTACGTTTTTACGTTTTTTTATAAAAATATTGCAATTTAGAAAATTATGTATGAAACCAAAATTAAACATTATTTTAATGGGATAACGGTATTGAGCCAACGAATTATTTTATTTTTTTAATAAAACACTTCTGTTCCATCAGTTGATGCGTATATCTTACGTTTAACTTTACAGTATTTCTTGGGAATATAGCATAAACACGTAAAAAATCATAATTTTAAGTTGAAAAGAGGTGGCTACAGGGCTACTTCGAACCAAAGGTCGATGGCAAAAAAATTGTATGTAATACGGGCTGTAAAAATGTGTTAATACAGACAATGTACATTAATAGAGATGTAAAGAGAGTCTTTTCTCGTTTTTGAAACACATACTTAATGACAAAAGCATAGCATAAAAAAATTAATTAAATCCATATTTAAATCAAATCTTTTTATCAATAAATTAAGTGGTAATAATATTTTTACTAGTTAACGTTTATTGTATTATGTTTATTGTATGTTGATATATATATTTTATGCTCACGTTTTGCACATTTTAAACCTTACTTAATTGTCGTTATCTAGTAGTATATTTTGAATTTGAATCCAAAATTTAAATGTACATTTTTAGAACATTTGTTTGTATGTTTTAAAAAGAGTATGATCGATTGATTACGAAATAAATAATCATTTCATACGCAATGTTTACGACAAGAATGACCATTTTTACTATGCAAAATGGGAATTTGTTACACTTATTGAAGTATTTTACTGGACTTTATTAAAAATTCCGTCTTTATTTATAACAGTTGTGTGCAAATGATTTTCCTTTAGCCGTAGGATTTTGTAGCTAACTTTGCCCGAGTGCCATAACTAATTAAAACGTAGATTTGTAAAGCCTTCATATTGATGTTTGATTACACATTCATTGCATATTTGAATTGATATTTTAAATATTTTTTCTGAAGGAAACTAGTTTCTATTGTACAAACCACGGCTCAAAAAACAAACCAAAAATCTACTGCTGAAAGACGTTGCCTTTGTATTGAAATGTCTCGATTTTCTGGGTTTATCTTTACTAGCTGAAATCAGATATAACTATTTTTCTCTAACTCTTTGAAGTGGTGAAAGAATTGCATACTTCACAGTTCAGTCTCATCCTCGATCACTTTTTCATTATGCAAAGATTAGCAGGTTTATCCTCCTGGATTAATTAGGTTTGCAGGTCGATCCTCGTAGCCGCAATAATTAGTATGCAAGCCCAATAACTTTTATTTAAACTCAGACAGAAAAATAAACTTTCTTTATTGTCTTTTGGCAACTATATTCATAAAGGTTTAATTTTTGAATTACTTAAAATGATTTAAAACATATGTTTTCTTCATAGTTAGATACACAATGAGTTTTTTACTGTTATTAAGATATATCCTTTTCAAATATTTAGGTATTTTTATGGCCCGATACATTTCAGTATTGAAATGGATGGGAAGTTGATATGAAAAAATCTCCATAACCAAATCTCTCTAGCCATACTTAGTGAGAGGAAAGTGATATTTATTAGGCCCTTACCTTACTTCACATCTACCCAAAGGGGCGGACGATATTTTACACAGCTCAGGCCATATAAAACTGGAAAGAGGGGAGCCTCGAGAGGGTGAAAATATTCAAACGTGTTTCTTGATTGCACGGAACTGTGTCGGGCGCGATGGTGAAGAAAGGTAGGGAATAGGGGAGCATTTGTTATTGCGGCTTTTACCTGCGGTACCAACGCTGTTGTTTGCTTTAGGCAAATCAATGGAAGACAACGTCTGGAGGGATTTGATTTGGTGAAGGGAGCATTATGTTGGGGATTGCGGGATGGAGGGTTATTGGCTCCCGGGCAATGGACTGTCCCATCTTAGCCAGCAACCCTTTACTTGCCTGTTTGTTATGCAAAATGAACCCTTCTCATCAATAGTGCGCATTCCTCGGTCAATCCTTTACTCAATATCTATTTGCTTAATTTTCACTTAAACCTAAGGACATAAATCGCTCCCCAGAGAATGATAGATATTTAAATAATTCTGAGGAAATAATCACCGTCTAGTTACAATTGTTTTTTAAATAGAGCTTTATTGAGTTATTAATATGATAAAATAAAGTAAAACTTTTCAAATAAATTTAACATAAAGACAATTAATCAAGTAAATTGATCAGTCGTACCAGCATTCTTTCTTAAGAATGTTTACTCCCGTACAGTGATGAAATCCGGATATTTCTTATTTTTATAACAAATTCTGGATAGATTGAGTACGAAATATTCTGCTATGTAATATGTGTCTCAAGAGCTTCCGGCCAAACATGCTTATTTACCGTATATTTTAGTAATGTGAAATGTTAAAAAAAATGGAAATGTTCTATGAGAAATTTATCTATTTTCACTATACCGAGTGCTACGTTTTCTGGGCAATGTGTCGTCCCTCTATGATGTGGTATGGCTTCTATTTTTAAAGAAAAGAGGCCTTCTTTCTAAGCAAATTTTTAAACTTTTTCATACGAAACGTTTTTCGGCATCATCTTAGAAACATCATCATTACATCATGCTAAACGTAAAATATCAATCGAATTTTATTAAAACTCCACTTTTTCAGCAAGACACTTTCCTTGCCTGGCTGGCTTTAGTCTTTCTATATTTAAGGTGATTGGAAAAATAAATGCAACTTTGTTTTGGTTTAAAACGCTCAATCCACCAGCTTATGATTTGACATTGATTTATGTTCAACATTAACAACATGGTCCTATAAAATTTCTGATTTTTAACCTCCAGTGTTTTCAGGCATTTTAAAAGTAGTACAGTCCTGGAAATTAGATGTAATTTCTTTCTCTAGGAGCAACTCAATCATAGGAAACAGCAATTTCAACATTATTCTGTAATAATCTAAATCTGCCCCCAGAAATTTTGTTGGTCCTTTAAACTGAGGTGTGGACTGATTTAATTTATTGTGAAGAAAGACCTCTTTTATTTTATTTTAATGTTTTGCGTATTACATTCTTTCCTATTTGAGAAACTATGAAATTTTTGAATCCGTATTTAATTGCAAAACGCAATTCACCTATTTGTTCAGACCTGGTTCTGTTCTAAAAATACTTTTTTCAACATTTACATCTATAAGTTCATTTTCAGTATTGAATACTTAATTATTAAGTTAATAATTAAATTTATTATTAATATGATTAAATTATTTTTGTTTTAAAACTTAAATTAATTAAATACATTTTCAGTACCCCCAGAACCAAAACACACTTACTTACATTTTAGACAATAAATTAAAAAATTCGTAAAAATTAATCATTTAAATCATGTGTTACTTTGATTACTTAAGGTCACAAAAAAAACAACGAATGAATTTCATAGGGGTTTTGATGCTCTTTCTGTTGGTATAATCAAATTTACAGTAGCGATTTAGGGAAGGCCAAAAATAAACGAAAAATGATATATCTCGAATACAATTGGGAATCAAATTTTGGATAATAGTGATTTTTTAGACCAATTTAAAATGTAGAATAAACTCCAGAATTATTGACGTCAGTTCACAGGACACCTTGCATAAAACGATAGGCGATAGGCTATATATATATATACCAACGGCTGTGTTCTCTCACAGGAGTGGAGGAAGAGAGGAAATGCGAGCCATATATATATATATATATATATATATATATATAAACGCTCGCATTTGCTCGAGAACACAACCATTGGTTTTTGTTGGTCTTTGAATGATTGGTCTATTTTAATTTTGCAGATAAGTGTAGATTTGCTCTACGATCTCCACATGGGCGTGAAAGAGTATGGAGGAGGCGAAATGAAAGGTAATTTTTCCCAGAGCCGACCTTTTCAACATAGCACAGTGATGGTGTGGGCGGGAATTTCAATGGAGCATCGCACTGATTTCGTGGAAAGTCTTTGATAGCCGCTC